CTCTTTTAAAAACTTTTTAAAAGTTTTTCTTTAAAATATTGATAAGTATTGAAAGAGAGAGAGAGAGAGAGGAAATGTCCCACATTTCTCTTATTTCATGAAGCAATAGAGCACTGGTTTATAAATCATTTGAATAAACCTAAACCTGTCTTCTCTTCTCTTTCAATACTTATCAATATTTTAAAGAAAAACTTTTAAAAAGTTTTTAAAAGAGTAAAAGAAGTGATATTTCTCTAGAGTTCATTTATATCTCTATTTGCAAAATGCAAACAAATATTATTCCATTTTTTGTATTTATCTCTTTGGGTAAGTTTTATTTAGCATTTAAACAATTTACAGTTAAATTATTTTAATTCTAATTATTTTAAACATAAATATTATAAAATGCATTCAATAAACAGTGCAATTGAGTGTCTGTGCAAAGAATAAAACAAAATGTGATATAAAGGTGATGGACAGATGCGGTGCCACTGTTTTTGTATTTGGCAAACGATCCGTTTATTTGCCCGTAAATGACGCTGAAATGGTTCCCCACTGTCAGTGAGTTTACAAACTTTTAATTTAAATAACATTTTCTTTCTTTTATTTAACATCACTACTCTGTATACCGTAAATGAATTATTATTAAGTGTTTCTAAAATGAATTAAATATAAATTTATATATATATTGGTTAACGTCTATAGAGAAGAATTTGATGCCGAAGATTGTATCAAAAGTTATGCCCGAAAATGTTTGGCACCGTTTCCTCGACAAGTGATCGGAATATTACTCTTAGGTTTTTATTTAGACATCACTTTTTTAAACACATTTCTCAAAAAAACTTTAATTAACCTTCAATTTGTCCAACACTTGAGGCGCTCACGAAGTCATTCACAGTCGTTGTAAACCAAACGGAGTTAAAGGTTGGCATAGATTTTGAAATATATATAACATTTTGTTTAAATATTTATCACCAGAATATCTATCGCACAAGAAATGTATCGCCACTACAATCAATGATCTGCACGATTGCATGGATCAGTTGGTATTAGGTTTGGACGCCATAGCGAAAGCACCGGCCGATGACAGGATACCGATGGCCTGCTGTGCGTTCGGCCGATACACACACTGCTCTATACAACCCATCAAAAGCAAATGCTCAGACGATCCCAAAGCTGTTGATTATATCGGTATCAAAATGATTAAAGGTAATAAATATTTAGCCATGTTCTGCATATAAGTTATAGTATTTAAATGATTTAATTAACATTCCCACAATTACCATAATTAACCTTAAAGGTTATGCGAGCGAAGTGCTAGACCTGGCCTGTCCTGGATTTGAATGGGGAGGCGATAAGTGCAACAAAATCAAAGTTCCGGACGGAGGGCTCGTATACCGCGACGGAAAGATCATTAAAACTAATAACGCGACTAAAAAGGGAAAATCATATTCACTTTTGCCTCCATTTATTAATATATTTACTAAACTTTAAAACCAATGTTTGTTTTAAAAAAATATAAAAACTGTTGCAATTCTTATTGTTGTGTTAAAATATATTATTTATGTCTTGAGATAATTTTGTAGGACTTTTGTTGAGTTGAGAAAAAATGTAGTAAAAATATTTTGTATATTCGGGTCATCAATACATTTACATCTGATTCTAACAGTTATATGAACTCATTATAAATATTTTTATTCAATATGTATAAAGAGTTTTTTGAAAAATCAAAACTTTCATTAGTTTTAAAAATAATTTATTATTTATTTGTCAAAACATTTTTTTAATTAAAAATATTTGTAAAATATGTTTGTTTGACGACTTATACAGTGTTTGTTTCGCTCAATAAAGTGAATGTGTGTTACGGAAGTGATGTGTTTCGCAATATACATGTAAATTGCAATTAAAAATTAATCTCGACTTACATTTGTATGCAAATAAAACAAGCCGTAAATATGCCGGCGCTTTAGGTTTTGCTCTGATAACGATTACAATACAAACCCAATGGAAAGGTATGGTAAGAGAGAAGTTGAATGTTGAGAGTTTTTAATTAAAATATTGTATTATTTTTATTTGAATTTTTGCTTTCGGTTGTGAATTGTTTGAATAGTAATGTATAGGTGTATAGGAAGACAACAGCCTTTGCCATGAAATCGGAGTTTAGATTAACCAAACCTAGAAGTGTTAGGTTTGCCGTATGAGCCAAAAGACCCGGAATCATTAGCTGGAACTAAAGCAATATTCATTTATTAATGTATGAATTGAACAAATAGTAGAAGAAATTGCAAAACCTCTTCAAAATAGACAGCAGTTCTGTCTTCGGGATTAGTTGACAACACGTATTGATAGAGAAGACTTTTGGTCTCAGCCGAGTCGTCGTTCACATCGGAAGTCTGTTTGAGTGTATAAAACATTGAGAACACCATAAGTATAACGAAAGCACATGTCATCAAAATTTTCAAAATATTCTTCTCGTCGTGACTGAAAAGACTCATCACTTCTTCGATTTCGGTTACGATTCCGAAGAATAAGAGCACAAAATAACCGAAAATAAATATATTAAACACTTCATCGATCTTTTTCACTGCACTTAAGTTTGAGCGATACCTGAATTATGAGAGTTATAATTAGTTATTATTAAATTCATTTAGAAAACAAAACAAAAATAATAAATTTACCAGAATTTAATGATTTCCAATTGTTTAAGCTCTGGTTTGACTTTTCTCTCGATCAAAGTCCCCACATAGAGGTTCAAGTGTTGAAATTTAAATTTCATTATCCAACACAACGCTATGTATAAAACCATTACAAACAACACCACATATAGTGAATACAATGCTATGAAACTAAATATCTTATTTGTCCAAATGGTGTCCGAATCTGTATTAATGGCCACAACAATGACAATAGCGATGTATGAAATGCACAACACTGTGAGCGACAACACAAATATGGTCAGAAACGTGAGCTTCACTTTGTATTTGATTTTAAAGTAATTATAATGCATAAGAATTGTTTGATCCAATTCTGGCATTTTGTCCAAATCGTTGATCAGAGTTCGCAGTGTTTGCCGATAAAACCAAATGAGATCGAGTGCTGAGACGCCCGACAAGCTGTACAAGAAGGTGAATATCTCGTCCCATAACTGATCGGTCAGTTCTCCCAATTGAAAGATATGGTAACCGACGCGACACAACCAGAAGCCACATATCGTATGAATCATACCCACAATGAATATTGAATATATCTAATTAAGTTACACATATATTTAATTAATTAAATAGCTGACCATATTAAATGACAATAATGTAATACCTGGATCATTCCATGTCTGCTAAGGTATTTGAATGCTTTATCGGGATCTTTGAGACAATAACTGATGGGCGCACCGGTCAGCGCAAACGGGTATAACACACGCCTAAGTATTGTATAATAACTGAATTCTTTGTTCATATCCTTAATATTGATTGAGACAACAGATTTGCATTCCTCGTCGTCTTCATCTTCAGTCTTCTCCTGGTCTTCGTTTAACGATTTCATCGACATTTGATCCGTCGATATATTATTGGCCGACAAATTATTACCACTTTTTTCCATTATTAATCCAATATAAAAAATATCACTTTATTTACACCAGAATTAAGTTGATTTGTAATTATTAATTAACTTGTTTTACACATTTTCAAAGACATGAAAAACAATTCATTGTGAATACAATTATATAAATAAATTAATACATTTAATAAATAATTAAAATACGAAATCATTCACACTAAAGTGTTTTCAATTGAATTTAAATTTATTATTAAATGAAATGAATTGATAGTCGCTTTTGACAATTATCTGTTTTTATCAATCATACAAATATTGAGACATTTTAACAGGTATTCACCAAATGATAAGTAATGTGTTGTATGTCTTAAACTATATTAAGTCAATAAATAATAAAATTATATTAATGTTAAACAATAAAACTTATTTTGATTGAATTCTGAGTGATGACTATTAAATAACAGTGAATTGCAACTTACAATCAAATATTTTCATAGTTATACAAATGTTTCCCTATTTTAAAGGCCAATACAACGAGAATTAATTGAATCAAACAAATGACTATTGATATTGAGATAAGACACCAGAGTCTGGACCGGAATTTCATGGCAATGGCGTCAACGCATCCAATAGTTTGGCTCACTTTCCGTAAATTACATTCAGAAATACGTTTAAATTGTGATAATTGATGGCAACAAGTATTGGGAAATACGGGCCGACTCTCGTTAAAGTGCTCATTAAGTTTCCAGTCCATAGGGCTGTCGGCACCACAACAATGGAGCTTATATTGGAGAACATCGATAGCCGTCGGTCTTTTGTCTTCGGATTCTCGCCATTCATATTGTTTGATGGCATAAGTGATCCGTTTGTATGAGATATCGTCCAATTGGTGAATGAATTTGAGGGCCAAACCGATTGCAATGCACTGAACAATAAATAAGAGCACATTTACGGCACTAAAAGCGTAAAGCAATCGGTAGTCCGTGAGAGCGGCCGCGCAATTGGCCAACACTGAGACCAACACAATCACTGCTCCGACGGCTATGAATATGATTACTGTAGAGTTGGGCACCTTTTTGATGATCATTTCCATTCCCTCACCAATTATTATCTTATAATTGGATTTAAGTATAGTTCCGATCAATACTAACACTGATCCAAACAAAAACCAAATGCCATTCAATAAGAAAAACATAAACTTAAGAACAGACAACTTATTGGGAGTGGACTTCATTTTCAATGTTTAAAATACAAATCAATATTTTCAATACAATTAATCACTATTTATTAGCAAATCATTATTTGTAATGCATTACATCAAAGGAAGACAAAATGATACAAATTTCCGGGATATATAAAAAAGGCATCAATTCTTTCGATACTTCCCATTACATTAAAAGCTGATACTGTATATTGAACTCATTCTTATGTAAAACACTATTAAAGTCAAAACACATGCAATTAATTTATATATATAAACGTATATTAATAGTAAAACGTTAAAATCATAATGAATACATTGAGAATTATAATAATTGTTTAATTATATTTCTAATTAATTGTAGAAAAATTAAATAATTGTCAAAAAGTAACTAAAATTACGCAAAAATGGAGAAAACATTAAAATTCAATTTCAGGTTTTATAAAATGTTATGTTAGTTAACAATGAGATATGCGTCCAATTGTGGACTAAAATTAGTGTCAAAATACCGGTAATTAATTACTTAATCGTAAAACAAGACAATCAAACTTAAAAAAGACTTAATTTTTAAATTTAAAGTGTGAAACAAAATATCAAGTATTAAGTAATTAATTCAAAAAAACATTCAATCAAAACGACTATTAAGAGTTCATATTTGTAATTGTCTTCAGTTTGTGACACTCTTGTTGTGCGGCCAGAATCGGTTTGCATAGAGAGCACATCCATTCGTCGGTGTCGACGGCGAGTTGTGAGCACTTGATGTGCGTGGCGTTGGCTCCGCAGCCATCGCAGGCCAAGATCTCCCACTCGCCGTCACCATTGTATGTCTTGCCCTTTCGACACAAACAGGTGTCCACTGAACACTCGTAGCGTTGGTCGTAGAGGTCGGAGAATGCGGTGCCCTTTTCCCACGACGCGTCTCGCGTCGGCACATAAACACCAAAACGTTTCATTTCGGCCACAAAAACGTCTTTGTTATTACAATTGGGACACTTGAAGTGATGTTTGGCCGCGTGATAGGCCTGTTTCATAACGCACTCCCTGTGCTGCCAGTGTCCGCAACACGGACTCCACAACGTCTTGTTGGTCACCCGATTGTCCACTTTGTCGCGACAAATGGCGCAAATGGGGTCCACGGGTGCGGCGGTCGGTGTAGTGGCTCTTCGTGAGGCGCGCGTAACCTTCTGTCGGGGCCTGTGTTTAGCGCAAAACGAAGGGTAAGTCCGCGACGGGTCGTGGAAGGAATGGAAGGAGTCGTTGACGAGACCACACGGCAGATGGAAATTGATTTTACATGTGGTAACGCTGCAGCCAATGACCGCTCCCTTGCCGTGACAGTAACTGCACGACAAGTGTCCGCCTCTTCGCTGTTCGGCCCGTATGTCGGCGCACAGGAAGCCCTTGAAGTCATCGTCGAGTGAGCCCTTCTGCTGCAGTCCGGGTGACATTAATATACAGTAATAGTGGGCAGACATCTCATCTCTGGTCATAATTTTGCCCAAATAGTACTTATTCTTGACGGACTGCCGGCAAAACACACACACCGGGCCTAATGGACACAACATATGGTTAGACAACA